GCCTGGCTGAAATACTCAGGCGTCAGTAGATTTTGTCTGTCAGGGTAGAGTGGACACCAGACAGTCCTTCACATGTTTGTAAGTGTCCAGAAAATGAAGATTTTTTAAAGAAATTTGAAAACAGAAAAAAAATGACAAATATCCCGCCCTAGCATCATCAACAATGATAACTGCCCCGGCAGGAAGTGGTTAAGGGGGTTTAGAGCAAACAAGGTGGAATGAATACCTTGACTGTGAAATGCTAGGCCAGACATGACCTTGACTGTGTCTCCTTACATCTTCTGGCTGCCAGGCAATTTAAAAGACGCCGAGCTTAGTCACCTGGGCCAGTTGCTGGAAAGATAATATATCATGCATCCCAAAATAGCTGTTGTCGCTGCCTGTAGATGTGCGCAAGATGCCTGTTGTTGTCAACAAGCTTACACGTCGTGTGTATTAAGGAACCTAGATCTAGGTCATGTGGATCGCTGAGGTAGTGGATATCCTAGGGAAGTCCATCAGGTTGCCATGACGATTTTTACATGGTTCAAAGATGTTACAAATTCTCTGTGAAACTGTGCATAGAAAAAGCTGATTCATTCATACGTTTGCTATGTTGTTAATGACAGTTTTTGACAAATAGAGGTTGGGGTTAACATGCATATTTTCCTCACAATTTCACTTCACCATTTATAATAGTTTCCAGTTTATTTTGTCGTCCTAAATGTGCCACAAACAAGCTTTCTGTGTCCATTTTATCTCAGAAAGGGATTAAAGTTTGGACTCTTAAAAGAAGTGTGTTAATTGATTCCCAAAGGTCAATCCGCCCCGAGCTGAAGTGCACCCCCAATTGGCGAAAGAAAGACATGTGGTTACAAGTGGGTTCTGCATGCATTCTGCGTATACGCAAAGACCATACATGCCACAATAAATTAGTTATGCGTACTCAGCGTGCTTTGTGCCAAATGCGCATAACGCACATATACTTTCGCGCCTCATGGCGCGCCGGTGCGTTGAGTACCAAGAAAAAAACCACGCCCTCTTTTGTTCCGCTCGGAGCGGATAACGTTTGTGTTGTTGATGTACAACTTGGTCACAGAGAAGGTTTTCAGCTCCTCTCAATAAAGGAGAAGGGGGCAATCACGCAGAAAGTGAAAGTGACAACATCTAGATATCTGTTTTTTAAAAAAGCCCCGCATCGCAAAAACAAGTGAGAAATTTTTTAACTGCAAGGTGTCAGGCCCCGATGTCAGATTAAGCCTCCAGGAAAAGAAAATCTGTGTCTCGGACATCGCTAAGCTTTAACTTTCGGAAAAACATATTGATGCCCTCATTCTTGGGAGTTTAGGTAGAAGTATCATTGTATCAGTCATGAATTCCCAAGCAACAAGGTCAGACATTCTGTGACTTTATCGGCCGCGCACCAGCTGCTTCCACAGCGGGACTTGCATCTGTCCCCTGGGTATGGGGGAGGGGGGGTTGATGACTACACTATAAGTCATCCTGCTGGATGGCCAATAAAGTCAAGAGCTGTTGGTTGTGCACAGCGCCCTCTGTGGGTCAAACTGTGACAGTGTAATGCACTAGGCAAATACTGTAGTGACCCTGGTGTTTTCTGGGAGCTGCCTGAAGAGATGGGGCTGGTTTCATGCTTTTTGGAAGGGAGGGTGGTGTTTTAGGGGTTAGTAGAAAGTATTACACATGGGCACAGAGATGTATTCATAGCCCAGTAAGAGTAAACAGGGGTGGGTGATAATGTTACACATTCTGGTCTAAAATACTCTTTCAATTTGTGGTAAATATATTTCAGTCTTGTTACTGTCTCTTTTGTCCCAGATCCAGGAATTCCAGCAGGCGCTGCAGCAGCGTGATGATGTGATCCGACACCTGTCCACCAACTTGCAGGGCGCCCTCGCCAGTCGGGATGACATCCAGAGGGAGACGTCTGCGCAGACAGAGGAGCTAGCACGCCAGATACGAACCCTCCAGTCTCAACTTCAGGAGGTAAACTGTGGGATTTTATACTTGGTGCCGAAGTAAGCACAAATATGAATTAAAAAAAATTTGTGCCATGTTTGCTAAAGTTGAATTGCTTTCAGCTTTGGTGAATTGGTAGTGGGCATGCCTGGTGTGGTGTCACAAATTTGTGTTCACTTTTTCTTTTTTGCTGTAAATGATCTCTGGTAAAAATAATGTAAATTACTTGGCAAAGTGATTAAATTTACCTTTTGGGGGACTCTGTTCTTTAGTTAATTATTTTTTTGTGGGGTTTGGGATATTTAATTCTTTAAAACAACTTACACCGGTACACTTGCAATTTTTGCTTATTTTTCATTTGTTTTGTGAAATCTACAGTTTATATCTATCGTTGGGCATTTGGAAAGCAAGTGAAAGACACGCTTTCCTTACTCAAACATTTGAACATGAATGGAGAGAATTTTTCAAAATCACAGGTGCAGGTCACAACAACATTCTGAGTAGTCAGTGAGATTAGAAATACCATAAGTGCCTCTACCATTGGCATATGAATTGTCTTGCAATAAATGTTGGTCATTGCGTAGCGTCAGAGTTCTGCACCCAAGCACTTCCTGCAGTAGTGCTCGTACAGAAATATGTACTCGTGTTTGAGAGCAAATTAAACAACCCTGAGGTTGGAGTTGAGTATTCGTGGATTAGTTTTGGTTTCACAGACGTACATCAGCACAGATATTTCAGATGAGGAGCCTCTTAAAGACTTAAGTGCCTCTTTGTAGTGGGGCTCTAAAATATTTGCCAGAATCGATACTGGTATATGTGTAGAGAATGTTTCTTGGTGATTTTTGTCAGCTTTTTAAGTTGTAGTTCTTTGGTCAGTGATGCATTTGATGTTTGTCACGTTGAAACATTGGATCAAAAATTCTTACATGTGTTTTTTTTTTTTTTTTTAAACTGTATCTGGCGCAAATGATGGAAGGGGTAAAATATGTAATTTAGTATAGTTAAATGTATTGATGTTACGTGTAATTACTCTCTTTTTTAATCCATTCAGGCTGGGGATTCACTGAAGGAGCAAAACGGTGGCCACGGCAGTCTAGCTGAGGAGCTAATCCATACCCAGGAGCAGGTGACGGCCCTGAAGCAGACAGTGAGTGACAAGGAAGCTGCCATGCAGACCCTTGCCCAGCGCTATGCCCAGAAGTCCAAGGAGCTGGTGGAGGCCGTTGAGGAGAAGGAAGACCTCCGCAGGCACTCGGCCGAGGAGATCGTCTCCTTGCAGCAGCAGCTGAAGGAGCAAGGTGGAAACCTGAGCCCCGAGTCCCGGGAGCAGTCCCTGGCCCAGCTTCAGGCCGAGCTGGACGAGAGCTTTGGCAACCAGATTGTCATGATCAAGGAGCAACTGCAGGAACGCCACGAGCAGGAGAAGGACCTCCTGCTGCAGAAGTGCAGCGAGCTGGAGAGGACCCTGGACACCCATGCCAAGAACAACAAGCTTTGTGAGGACCTGGAGCATCAGATCGCTGATCTCAAAGACCAGCTGGGGAAGAAAGACTGTGAGAGTCTCTGTGGACAGGAGGAGATTGCCAACCTGAAACAGGAACTGGCTGAGATGGTCGAGGCTTACAAAAACCAGACCGAGAAACTATACACAACTCAGATGATCCTGGATGAGGAATGCTCTAAGAAGGAAAATTTGAGTGCCCAACTGGACGAATCCAATCAAGATCTCTTGCGCTTCCAGGAATCCCAGAACGATGAATTAAATGACTTAAAGAGATCTCTACAGCAGCATATTGCTGAAGCTGACAGGCTTGCCGCAATCAATATCGACTATGAGGACCAGATTGCTAAGCTAAAGGCAGACCACGAAGAGGTTGTTGCTGAGTTGAACACAAAATTAGAAACAACCCTTGATGAGAACAACTCCCTAAAAGATGATCATATGAAGGAAGTGGAATCCTTGAAGGCTGAGTTAGAGAACTTCCAAGAGAAGAGCGGTGATGCACCTGTCAATCTCGAGGAGCTGAAGAGAACAATCAAAGGAGACCTGAGTTTGGACTATGAGGACAAAATAGAAGACTTGAAATACTCCCATGAGGTTGACCTGAAGAGGCTGCAAAGTGAACTGAGAGTCGAGTATCAGGATGAGCTCAAAGACATCCAGAAGAACTTGGAGGAGCAGTACTTGCAGAAGGTTGAGAGCATCCGATCTGAGAAGGACAGGGAGTTTGTTGCCGAGTTGCAGAAGGCCAGGCAGGAACTCCAGGAGAAGTACGAAGCCGAGCTGGCTGAGAAAGTTGAGGTTGAAAGAAAGAGACTCAAGCAGCTTGAGCTCCACCAGACAAGTCTGGATGACACAGTTGACCAGGCCGAGCTGATCACGAGGCTGCAGAATGAGAACCAGGACCTGTCGGAAGCACGGGATGCTCTCCTACAGCAAATTGACTCTAGCCATCACCAGCAGGAGGAGCTCCAAGAGGAACTCCTTAACGTCATTAATGAGAAGGATAGGCTGAATGAAGAAAACGAGAGACTGTTGCTAGATTTAGAGACCTCTCAGATCAGATCCACAGCTGTTCAGGGTTTGGAGACACTCCACGATCGTCTCCAAGAGCTAGAAGCAGATCCTCTGTACCAGTCAGAACATTCTGAGGATGAGAAGTCCCAGCTGGCTGATGAACTGGAAAAGCTGCGAGCCGAACTGGAAACTAGCAAGCAGGATAAGGCTGCCTTCCAGGAACAAATGAACAAACTCAACAAAGAATACCGAGCCAAGGTGGAACAGCTTGGTGAGGAGAAATATAAAATCACAAATATCCTGGAGGCAACGAGAGGTGAATTGGAAAGCCATAAATCAGCTGCCGTACAAGGAGATGATGATTTCTGGTCTACAGAGAGAGCCAGACTGCTACAGGAAAAGGAACAGCTTCAACATTTATTGGAGAAAAATGAGAGAGAGTATGAAGCCAAGATCTGTTTTTTGGAAGACGAGAGGAATAGTCGGGTTGAGAAGGTGGCTTTGTTAGAAGCAGAAAAGGAGGCACTCTTCGATCAAGTCCGTTCACTTGAGAAGAACCAGGATGAGTTAAAGCAAGAACTGGATGAGGCAATGACTCATGTGAGAGATCGACAAAATGTTGTCTCAGAGTTAGAAGAGTTGAAACAATCTGTGGATGAGCTGAAGACGAGGCACTCAGAGGAAATTCTCAGTGCTCAGAAGCAGCACAAGGATGATCTAGAACAAATTCAGGAGTTGAACAAAATTATGAATGAGCTGAAGAATATCAACGCCCAACTGAAAGCAGAGTCCAGCATGTATGAAAATGCCAAGGGGCGAATTGAAAGTCTCACTGATGAACTCTCGGTGCTGAAGTCAGAGAATGAGGAGCTGAGAACGGAGGTTGCATCTCAGATATCCAAGAATGCAGAAATTGGGCATGATCTCGCCGTGATGGGTGGCACCAGAGAAGACCAGGATAGGCTGGAGAAGGATTTGGCTGCTGCTATATCTGACAAAGAAGCTTTAAAAAGTGAATTGGAGCAGCAGAGGGAAAATTATGAGCGGCAGGTGGCACTGCTGAAAAACATCCATCATGATGACGGCAACTCAGCCTCAGGCAGCAGTGGCAGGAAATCGCCAGAAATGACAGCTGCCGAGAAACAAAACGCCATTCTGCGGGACTCGCTGGAACAAACGGCCGAGGACCGGGCCAGCGTGGCTTCCGATCTGGTGCAATTAAGGCACGAGTTTGATCTCCTGCGGACAAGCATCAACATGAAAGAGGCGGAGATTACGTCACTTCGGGAACAATTGCAGATAGCCGAGGAAGAGCGTAAGCACGGAGTGGCCGAGTGGCAGGAGGCAGAGCAGGAGTTGGGGGTCATCAAAGCGCAGCTGGAACAGGAGAAGAAACAGCGCTGGCAGGTTGAGGAGAGGCTGCCACAGCTGCAGGCTAGGCTGGAGTCCCTGCAACATCTTGAGACAGAGCTGACTCTGGAAAATGAAGGTCTGAAGGAGGAACTCAGCGGCGTCAAGCGAGAGAGAGATATTGACACTGCCAAACAACACAAGATAGAACAGCTGAAACAAGACTTGAGTGAAACTGCTGAGATTTACCAAAAGGAAAATGCCCTGCTGAAGGATGCCTTGCAACAGGAGAAAGACACAGCTGCCACCTTGCTGAGGAAGAAAGAGGAAAATTCTAACAAGAAACTTCTCGCCCTGACAGAAGAGGTAGACGAACTTAAGCAGAAAATTGTACGCAAAGAGCAGACAGAACACGAGATCTTGACAGAGAAAACTCGGCAGATTGGCATCCTCCAGGAGAGCAATGCCAGATTAGAGGCAGAGAAGGAAAACCTCCAAACAAAGCTTGAGGATCTCGAGAAGAAGATCAAGACAAATGAATCAGTCTCGGAAGAGGTCCAGGATATTTTTGGCCAGCAGTTGACGGAACTACAGGCTGAGCAAAAATCACTGCAGGCCGAGCTTGAACAGCAGAGAGAAGAGCGGCTTAACCTGTCGGGCATCCTGAATGATTCCAATTCCCGAGGGGAGAGATTGAGCCAGGAAAAGGAGCTGCTCCTCAAGAAGCTCGCCGAGAAGGAAGAAGTCCAGGAGAAGCTGATGCAGGAAAGGTTGGCGCTGCAGAGGCGGATTGAGGAGCAGCAGAAACTGGAAGCCCTTTTGGAGGAGAAGGACCACTTGGAGCAGGAGCTGTCCCGTCAGAAACGGTCACTAGAGTGCGACCTGCGGGACATCGAGCAGCAGCTGCAGCAGCGGGAGCACCAGCTCTTGAGTGAGAAGGCCAGCCTTGAGGCCGAGCTGCGGCACAAGGACGTGGAGGCCCGGCGCTGGCAGACGGGCTTCCGGGAGCAGCGGCTGGAGTTCCAGCACCGTGAGTCCTTCCTGAAGAGGCGCTACGAGGACGAGATGACCTCCTTCCGGGAGGAGGCAGAGAAGGACAAGCTGGCCCGGCTGCAGCGCATGAGACTGGAGAAGGATCGGCAGCATGCCGACGCCGTGGCCAAATTGAAACGGGAGTTGAGGGCGGAGTTTGATGACCTGTCCATGAGGTCCAAGGAGCAACACCTCCATGAGATTTCCCTCCTCAAGACCAGACACCAGTCTCAGGTGCATTGGTATTCTTATTAACCATTTTCATGCCCGCAAATTTATCCATTTAGTCTAAACTAAAAAAAACTAATTAATGCGCAGTGCTCGCAAAGGTGTGGTTGGTCAGTATTGACATTTGCACATTAACACACCTCAGCAAATATGCACAGAAAGACACAACTGCCCTTTTCTGACATACATAGCACTAATCACAAATGAGAAAATACTCGTAGAATTTATAAGCCTAAATGTAAGTACTTCACCCCATGGATTGAAACTTGTTTTATTCTTGGATGAGATCAATATGAGAGAGAAAGGTATGAGTGCTACCGCGCAAGCCTCACCGTACAGTTGTGTTTTGAATTTCAGGTATTAAAGAGTGGCAATTTCTTAACTGTGCATCTCTCTATGCTGAAGGTCTAATGTATATTTTGGCTATTTTAGCACTTTAGCATATTTTAAAGCCAAACATTTCAAATAAGTTGACTTGCATGATTGATCGGTTGTAGACCAGCTGATTAAAGGAGCAATTGACATAAACACTGAGAAGAAACCTTTCCCTAACGTGTAGCTCACATGTATGTACTCAGTGCATAGTTTTATTGATTTTTGTCATGGAGTTGAAAGAGTAAATTTTTTATTAGGAAAAACATACAACAGAAAATGGTTAAACTGAAATGATTCATGACTAACTACGTTTGTAAAGACACTTTCAAAAAAAAAATCATGCAAGCCCTAAAAACGAAACTACTAACCACATCTAGCAATCACATCTTCATTCCCACATACTTCAGTATTTGGACATCATTGAAGTCTGTCCATCATAGGCCTGTCACAGCTCATTACTTGTACTTTTGCAACAACAAGGGCCTGTCTATTTCTTGCGGATCCGGATTGTGATCAGTGATCTGTCGTTGGTTGACTGACACCAGAACCCGCTGAATGGATAGCACGGACCAGCTCTGGGATCACTGATCGCAATCCTGATGCTTGTGAAACAAACAGGCCCCAAGCCTTGTGCAAAGGGAGATGGGCTGGATCCTACCATGTTGAATCTGTCGGTGTCCCCTTCGGGATTGTCAGCAGGTCTGGTGAAAATTCGCCCTAAATCCACTTCCCCTGGTCTTATGAATTCTACATGAAAGAATGCAAAACAAATAAGCAAACACCCCAGCAAACGTACAAACAGAAAACAGTCCACTGAATTCAAACCTCAAGCAGTGCCACATGTGCTCAAATAATTTTACTCTGACAGAAATTGTCATGCATTTTCTTCCCCTTCATAAACTGAAGCAGCTGCATTTCCCCCAGATTACCCTGAAGTACGTCATCAGAACACAATGTGATGCAGTGACAAAAAAATCATTTTGAAAAATGAATAAATATCTCCATAAATGCCTTCAGGAAAGCTAGCTATTTCCTCTCTGTTGAACCATCTGGAGTCTTAACTCCCTGCTGATTTTTTCCTCCGCGTGGATTGAGCAATGGATGCATTGTTTGCTGGTGCTCAGGAGGGTTCTTCCCTCAACACCAGCCATCAATCTGTCATTGTGTGTGTTATTTCCTGACCTGTCCGTACTTACGTGAATCTCAGGAAAAGTGATTAAGCTAACTGGTTGATGATTGCTCTTTTCAGCAAAGAAGTGGTCAGTCCACACATAATTCTTTCCTTTTTTTGAGGTTTTACAGCACGTTGCAGTTGGGGCATGCATTAGCAGCTGCATAAATTATAATAATTTGAAAATTCATACAAATTCAGTTGTACAAGGCCTAAAGATAAAATGATTGTGCTATTGTAATATGCAGCTGCATCAAACTATGATAACATCAGATTTCACAACTCACAACGTATTCAAATTAATTAAAAGAATTGAAATGTTTAGTGGGTCAGGTTTTTTCTCTCTGATGGGATCATGGAAATTTTAGTTTTTCTGCATTTTGTTTGCTTCAAAATGCAGGAAAAATGTTAAGAATATTTTGATGGTTGTAACTAAGTAATTTTCCAAGAAGGGTTCACTATTTTTCTAAGTGAGTTAATTTATGCATGACTTTCTGACACCTTGTCCCCAGTTTTGAGTGATTGTTTCCATGACCCTTATTTTCTACTTTTGCCTCAAAAACCTCAGAGCTACTTGTAGGCCAGATGGCATAATGAATATGGATAGCTTATGCATATGCGTATGGGATTGTATGGGATTATATATATATGGGATTGTTTCAAAAACTTGACAAAAACAATCGAATATTTTTGAAGTAGTGTAAAGAATTTATTTTTTTTTTTGAGAAAAACTTGCCAGTTGGGGTTTATTTGTGAGTGAAGGGCAATATTTAGAATTTCTTTTATTTCGAAATTTATCTCGGCTGTTAATTTCCTTGAAATCTTGTAAGTAGGAATGGATTGCAAATTAGCATTCGGTGCTTGAAACCACTCATATTAGTATTATTAAATCAAATCGGAGTAACAAATTATTGAATATGGAGATGAAAATCAAGAAGTTTATATTATATATTTTGCCTGGTTTAAGAAGCAGTTATGTATAACGTTAAATGTAATCGTGAAACATTGATGCATTGTAACTCCTATGCCACAGTGCCAAATATAAGCATTTTTATGTCTTCCTTTTTCTGTGGGAGGGGATGTTGTATTGGTCTCCAAATCAAATCGGGGTCGTTGCACTCTTCTTCCATTCTGACTTCAATACGACTGCTGCATGTCCTTAAGAGTGACCTGTGGAATGATCGTTTCCAGTGACTACAGATGTTGGCAGATGCCTTGCATGAGCCGGTTAAGGGGGTAAAAATGTTTTGTGGGGAGGATGTTTTGCTTGATTGGCTCTGAGCATGATGGTAGAGGGCGCTGTTTATGTCGGTGAAGAGAGCTAGCAGTGGTCACTTCAGTCTCTGATGGTCTGTGCAATACAGTTTCCAGTACGGGCTATTCACAATAGCACCGCCTCCAAGAGTTTGGAGAAATCTGTCGACCCTTTCCAAACACGCATTGGGTTGACAGATTTCGTGCCTTGTGATTGGCCAATGCATTGCAAATGCTTGGAGGCGCGCTGTTTTGAAATGCCCATAATGTGACAGGCATGCAGTGGCGATATATCATTTTCCAGCAAAATGTGCTCCAAACTGCAAATTACAGATGTCACCAGAGTTTTTATGCATGATGGAAAATGTTTTCACCGTACGATTACCGACATTTCCCACTAGTAAAAGGCACAATTTTGCATGGAGCTCACAGTCGGGGGAAAAATAGTGAACATGTAATTCACGTTACTGTTGCTTGAATGTCGCCTTGTATGTTGTATGTGAAGCACATGGATTCTGTGAAGTTTATCGCGATGTGTGTACATCAAGGGAGAAATCTCGTTATTTGCAAACAGTTCTGAAAGTGAAACAGCTGAAAATGGTCAAGGTGAAATGCCAGGAATAGGAGTTTTCAGAAATGTGAAAATGTGAAAAATAATCAAAAAAATTTTTTGACAAGAAAAGGAAAAAGAAAAAAAAAATCACAAATATTTGAAGGAAGCTGCTTCGATGTCTAGTGGAAATTGTTCGGAAACTGTTGATGCAGAGATTTTACTAGCGTGGTCGTAGTCAGTTTTTGGTTTTAATTACATTTTGTTTCAAGAAGCAAGAATTATCTCTTGACCATTGCTGTAAAAATGTCCTCCGTTGAAAGTGTGTTGTTTTTCACTTTTTTAGTTCTTAAAACAGCTCCTTTGTAAAGGTCTGGGTCAGATATATGCATTAAGGTTGTGAGCTTTCCCACTTTTTGGCGTTTACATGCCCCATTCGAGATTGTGCCCCTTTCCTTTCACCACTTGTTCCTTAACCACTCACACTAACTCATCAAGTGCCCCCAGTTCCTGTCAAGCCTTTGTACTAACGAGTGTTCCTAAACCTTGGAGTAACACTGCTGTCCAAAGAAAAGAAACAGTGCATCGTTTTCTGCTAGGGATATTACATTTTGGCTGCATTAAACACAAGCTGTAATGCCCTTTGAATCCTTTTAATAGCTGTTTTTGAATTTGCCTGGGTTGGTTTGGGAGTGCAAAGACAGACATTTTTCATTTTCTTCACTTGTATAAGTTTCAAAATTTGAATGCAGTGTTTTGGCAGAAGTCAAAAAATATATTACCTCAGATTTTTTTTATCTATGTGTTTTTTTCCCTTCTAAATTGTCCAAAATAGCCCCCAAAGCAACAACCAAAAAGTCCTTTAATTTTCTGTTTGTTTTATTTGTTTTTTTAATCTCAGCCTATGGTTTTTTTATGATTCTCAATTTTTTTTGGGGGGGGACAGTCTCTGTCAAAGTCTTGTCCTTTGAATTTGGCAATGCATCAACTTTTAAACCAAAACAAAATCTAACCTAATGCCTGTCTTTGACCCATACCTCAAACCAAAGTGGCAAAAATTGTACTTACTAGGAGAAAACACTTTTGGATGGTTCCAGAGAAAGAAAAATAAAGTCAGAAATGAATTGGAAAGGAGAAAACAAGTCAAATGTACAGCTTGTGTTATTGTTGCATTTGTTATGTCGTATTATTCTAAGCTTTGATAATTTTTTCCCTCACTCAATTATTCAATCCAAACAATACCCTTGTCTACAGTATTCTGTCTAGATATACAGAGTGTTTCCCTAATCTTTGCATATCTCCTCAATATCTTCAATTAAACTCTTTAAAATTACCCTCATAAGAATTGCAGTGCTTTGATTAGTTTCCAAAAAAGTTTTCCCTTTTAAGTTTCTTCAATCCCATTTCAGTATCCATCTGTGATAGTAGTCCACAAGTCATACTCATGGACTGTTTGACCTAGACTGTAATGTACCGTTGATTTGGCTCCTTATAAAGAGCAAGATTTCAAGTATGTGTGATTGTAGGTCCCTAAAAAGGCTTTTGTGGGCAGTGAGATATGGTATCAGTGAGCTGAGATTCCAACCATTAGATTTAAACTTGTCCCAGAACCAAGCTCACTCTCCAAAATGCTCTCACAGAGGAGTATAGGTAAAGTATTTAACGGCCGTCGTTGAGATTTCACAGAGGCATGTACGAGCTTTCTCCAAGTTGAAATAGTTCAGATTGTGTGTTAAAACAATGGACTACCTCTCATGCATCGTGTTCTTCTATTATAAAAGGAAGTCAAAGGAACAAATTAATGCAGATATTGGTGACAGTCATTGGAAGGAACAGTTCATAAGGAAACAGTGACATTGTCAGACAGCCCCAAAAGGAAAATTACTGGCAACTGCAGCCTTTGAAGTGGCAGAACAAATAATTTATGACGATATCAACCCTTTCTTTTAAAATGCCAAGAGAGAAATTATATTATTAGATTTTGGCATTGTAGAAAATGACCCATCATACTCATCAAAATGTATCTCTTAATTAATATAGACATTGCATCATACTGATTGCAAAATCTTAATACACAGATTTTTTCATATATGTAGGAATTCTTTTTTAAAAAGAACTTAGAGACATAGAGCCCTCTGCCCAGAATACACAGTTTCATTTCAGAAGCGTTAAAGTCTATTTTTACCATCAAGCAAGTCATCAACCATAAATCAAACGATTTCCACCACCACAGCTGGAGGAACTGCGCAAGTTCTTCGAGGCCAAGCTGCAGGCGCTGCAAGAGGAGCTGGACAACGAACGTAGGCAGCAGCTGGGCACGGTGCGGGACGTCCATGAACGCGAGCGACAGCGGGAGTTGAGTGAGATGCGAGACCGGCATGAGTGGGAGATGGAGGCGCTGAGGGGAGAATTGGACTCCAAGCACTACCGCATCTTTGCCGAGATGCGAGGCCAGTTGGAGCAGGCCTACAGGGAAGAGGTGGAGCAAGTCAGGAAGGAGGCAAAGGTAGGATGTGGGTGGGGCTAGGTACTCCTTAAAAGTGGGAGGTCAAGGTAAGACGTGGGTGGGGCTAGGGACTGTTTAATAGTGGGAAGTCAAAGTGAGATGTGGGTGGGGCTAGGGACTCTGTTAATGGTAGAAAGCCAAGGTAAGATGTGGGCAGGGTTAGGGCCAATTTAATTGTGGGGGGCCCTCAGGTAGGATATTGGCGGAGCTATGAACTGCTTTACGGGGGACATAGGGGCAGCTAGAGCAGGTGAAGGGGAAGAGATGGAGCCATTGGGTGGGCCTATGGACTCTTGTCAGAGGGACGATGAGGTGAAGGCAAGATGTGGGTGTGGCTCTTGACACTTGGTGGATGAGTAAAGATTTCAGACACGAAATCTATTCAGCCTGGTTGTTTTGAACACATTCTTTGAAACCAGAATTTGGTATCGGAAGAATTCAGAGTGATATACCTTGAGTCCATGACAAGATCTGATTTATGGGTGTTCAGTTTAATATTGAAGTCATTGTTGGTAATTATGTATACAGTGTCTGTACTCCTTGTGTGTTGCAGAGGTTCAAGTTTTATCTCTGTGGAGAAGACATTTCAGCTTTTCACAACTTATTCAAATTAACTGAAAAATGCTCAAGCCTGTACCCTCCAAAGTTGAAGCCAAGTCGCATTGAGAGGTATGGTACTTTAAAATTTTCCCCCTTTTGTTTTCAGAATGAGCGAGAGTTGGAGCTGGCCGCCATGCGTTTGTCCATGGAGCAGATGTATGCCGGCCAGCTGGATGTGGAGCGAGCCGAGATGCACAGCCAGCAGGCCAGGGCATTGGCCGAGCTGCGGCAGGCACTGATGGTCGAGCACAGGGAGGAGATGGAGTCGATGGAGGAGAGGTGGTCGGCCAGGCTGGGTGCCTTGGAGAGACTGCTGGAAGAGGAGAAGACCAGCAGGCAAGGTGAGTGGTCCAGGTGCTAAGCGCCAAAAACTTTGACCTATCAGGAGCATGGTCATCAGTCCCAAATTCAAGTAATGTATGTACATCTGACTGGCTCCCAACCTAAACACGTATACACGCTAAGCGAAAAAGTTCTGCCAAGCAGCCACATTGAATTGGGCTCCTGTCTTTTCTCAGTTGTGGAAAAATCTAAACCGTAGAAGTTTGTGTAGAGGAGTGGGATCGGGAAAGAAGTAATTATAGTGATGCTGATGATGCTTTTTTATACCCAGTGTAGAATGGTATTATTAGCAAGGTGAAGATAGTTACTCTTACACTCCCACATCCTAGCAAACCCATTGATAGGCTTTAATAGAGGATTTTGTAGGACTGAGGAAGATAGAGCCCAGCCAGTGTACGTTGAAACCTAGGTACTGTTGTATTTTCCAGCTTTTTAGAGAATTTTAAAGGATTCCGAGAGGTTCCTTGAAAAACTGCCAAGCAGTTGAGGCTAAAATAAAAGGTATGGATTTGATGAACACTCGAGGCAAGTGAAGGATTGAGGATTTGCACAGTTCTGCAGTTATTTTCAGATGGTGAGATTGCTTGGAGAAGTGGAATTTGGAGCTTTAAATGATTTTTTGCCATGGGTTTGACTTTTTTTGGCTTCTTTTTTGGCTCACGAGCTGAGCTTTTAGTAGCTGAGGAAATAGTTCCATTGATAAAGTTATCTCTGCAGAAGGAAATTCTATTTTAACTGTCCACCACTCAGAATCTGATGGTACTTGGCCGGAAAGAGTGGCCGTCGTTTTCACCTGCCCTGACTGATACTAATGATGCTGGTGGAAAATCTGGCCAATCAAAACTGCTGCACAGGGCCACTGTTCATTCATGAAATAGAAGAATAGCTCCACGACCTTGGGCAAAAGCTTCCACTGCGTATTTTGACAGGGAAGAACTGAGGAGACTGATCATCAAACTCAATCAATTTGGTTTTAGATTTGCCATGAACCCATTGAAATTTGGAATTTCATGAGTGGTGTTTTCCCCCTTATTCTTGTTGATGCTTGATATAGCGTGAAAATGGAACTGCCCTAATTGTTAAGATGTTCTAGTTTGATACAGTGATATTTTCACACCCCTCTCGGTGAATGGTCTGGTCTATTTTCCCCTGCCTACTGCCAGCTCATGTCATTTGGGGTCATTACCATAACAAAGCCCTGTCAAGATTTACCTGACAAGAGTTTCTTCAGTGACAAAATGGTGAACAATGTACCTACATGTAGTAGTGGGCTCACTTGATGCTTGCTTTGACACACAATACCCGAGGGGGTGCAAAGGTCAAACCCTGGTCCAGTACACACTTTACCATGCTCACACAGGCGCACCACACACACACACCGCCAAAATGTAATTATGCCCCCCATTGATGATTATACATGTACACTGTACATGCGTGGGTCCATTCTGCGTCTGTTGTTTGCTGTCTCTCCCGGGCCTGTAGGAGTGGGGACGCTTGTTTATCATTTTTACCCGCACTCGATATGATGATCCCTGGCAAGTGGTTGGCATATTTTCCATGTGGGGATGTTGCAATATGTAGCAGATGTGCGGATGGCCTGGTTATTGTTACACCTGCTGGGGGATTTTTTTAAAAATAATTTGAACTTTCCTTGAGAGAATTTCTCCCGACCTGTGGTACAGTTACAAACCATGGTAAGCATCTGCAGTACACAGACTATTTTCTGCATTGAGCATGTTGATATGTGGTGTACACACTATTTATTGAAGTGATTACTAGATTAAAGAGTTAATAACTGTAGTGTTATCGGGGCCGGAAAAGGTTGGGCACATTCAGCTTTTTAGGTCAGGATGTGAGATATCAATTTCATGAAACCTCACAGGCATATCGTACTTGTATGTGATAGACTCTACACCTGTATGCTTTCTACATGAATATGCATTTTTCATATTCATATTTGTATGTGAAGTGGATGTTGTATTTGAAATTGGTCGAATAAAAACACCTTTTGTTTAGACTCAGCAGAATTTTTGTCTAAGGTGAAATTTGCATGCACACATTGAGAACCAAACTTCACTTCCAAATCGGTGTAAATTTAAAACTTGGGTCACAAAAGGCCTGAGCTCATGATGAAGACTTGTGCTTATCCAGTGTAACATACACTGTAGGTGACAATTCTGTGGCTGAAAGATATCACAAGCTCATCGAAGATTAAGAAATGGCAACAAGGTCTTTGTCTTGGTCAATGATTTTCTCTAACTTGATGCGTACGTTGTTCAGTCCTTGTTTGCTGATTTGAACTGTGAATTGTACACCCTGTAAACGTGTTGTCCGTCTGCGTGGCAGCGTGTTCAGTGCAATAACTTCTGTGTGCTCCAGCGGCAGCAATTAAAAATTCTCGTGACTCGACAGAAATTGCAGCAAACGCGTACATGAGAAATAACACCATTTCCTTTATGCGAGGGGATGAGTCTTCAAGGCCGTCAATATTGCTCTACAGTATTGTAGTGAAGATGACACATTTCATTAGTAAATGTTGCAATAATGAAATATGGATTATTTCATAATTAAAATTCTTGTAAAAGTCAACATGGAGCTGAAATGTCAAATGTTAATGTACCATTTTTTTTCATATGTAATGCAGAATATTTTACATATGTCAGCTATGTTGGCTTCCATCATACATGCGACTGCATGAATCCAGACGTATTTACATGGTTGGCATGCATTGATGATTTTAGATGAGTGGTAACTTACTCAACATGTTTACTCACTCTCTATATTTCGGCAATGACACAATATCTCCTTTGAGGAACTGAAAACTAGGTAGTGCAGACTGAGTTGTAACGATCTATCTCTTTGAGCTCTCTGAAGATAGACTTAACCCTAACACTCTTCAGTCCTCCAACAAGTGAAGGATTGAGGAGGGTTAGGGTTAATGAAATAAATGCTGACAACTGAAGTTCAAGATTCTTTCTCTACGGGAAAAAAAATAGCTCTTGATTTCACCAATTTAGGTGCAGAGATGTGAGCATTTCAAAAGTACTCCGAATGCTTCTTAACTCTATTCTTGGCTCAATATGCTTAGTTCAGCGCCAGTTTAACATCTTTACGTCATTTTTTATAGTGCATGAACGGGCATTGTGGGCTTTGTACACCTCTTGTACTGTGTGTACTACTGAGGTATTGTAAACGTACATGCACATCAACTCTGTATTCAAATCATCATCTAAGCACTGAATTTCATTGCCAAGTTAGGAATAGTATGACCCATGTGCATTCTTAACTCGGTAGTGACAGAGAATGCAAAGATCAAATGCCGATGAGCCTGGTTACCCACTTGCCGAAATTGTTTGTCCTGACTATGGACAAATCCGAGGAGACGCCATTCCTGTGGGGCATTGAATTCATGCAGTTGTCTTAACTTTGGCGCTTGCGTACACTCTGGCAAGCCTCAACACCCTGTTGGTCGGAGAGGAATGTTAACGCGCGCGAACTACCACCTGCGTGCAAACCGGATGGCCACGTAGGAATAGCTTCCAATTCTTTTCTGCTGGATGGGTGTGTAAGAAGTGTCGCATTGAATTCAAGTACTGTACGCCAGCATTACACTCTACACGTAGGGAGATGGACGGTTTTGTTCAGAGGGCAGACGCTAAATACATGTAAGTTGGTAAGCTGCTAGCTGTTAGTTGCTTAGTTGATCAATGAGTGTGTCAATTTATTATTTTTGTTCTTCTGGCCTTGTGAAACATTGACCAGCTTTGACGCACGAAACGGTTTGTTCACATGTTCAGGTAATAAGATGCAGTTGATTGTTTTAGATTTAAAACAACGTGTCCCGGCTGAGTTGCAGTGGTGAGTGCCACACAAGGCTTAGCACATAAAGTAACTACCGTAGTAATGACAAAAGGTGTGAATTGTGGCTTTGTGTTGCCGTAGTAACCGGGTCACCCTGGGGTAGGCAGGCTTTTTATTTTGCAGAGTGGGGTTGGATGAAACAGCGCGTGATTGAAATAGCAACAATTGAAATATGCAAGATACTCAACCTCTTTAGGGAAAATCAATTATATACTTACACTAAGGTAATATTTTACTAGAAAATGTGACTTTAGACTAATGGACTTGGACTTTGTATTATTATTTTTAGCACTCTTTTTGGGGTATAGAGGACTCTGGTAGCAAGTGCATGTATTTTAATTTGTTCTGTGAGAGGTATATCCATGTCTTATTACATGGACTATTCATATTCTGGATTGGTTCTTGAAACAAGATGGCAGATGCAGTGCTTTACCATTGAAAGAGAGAGATTGGTGATTTTTTCCAAGTGGTGATTTGGCATTGACAAGTAGGGAACACAGTCCTGCTAGTACGTACATGTATGTTTGTAGATGGTAATAAAGATTGGCACTTGGCCAAAGTGGGGCCATCACTGGGATGGGGAATTGAAAACAAACGAATGGACCTTATTTTATAATATTAAAGGAGGGAAAAATGAACAGATAAACAGACTTAGAAATTGAACCATATTTCAAACCGAGTTTGCATAGGCCTTTGCATCACCAGGAAAATATTTAGATGAAACAGGTCCAAAGGTACATTACGTGTAAGCATGCAATAAATTAAGACATTATTTTTCAGTGCAGGTGCTGCGAAAAAATTTCATTTCCAGTAAATTGGATTGGCTGATTGAATTCTATTCAATTGAAATGGGATTTTACAAGGCTATTAAATTCGACACTCTGTACAGCTTCAATCCGTGTGCTCTGCCGTGGGCCAGGCACATTAAATGTATGGCCGTGTCCGAAACGGGCTTCCAGAGCTACGGCTAGGGCTATTGTCTGCGCATCTCCGCACATTTCCAATGGAGGGAAGACCTAGACCTAGCTCTAGACAAGAGACTCAGATGCAGCCTATGTTCTTGATATGCAGTGGTCAGCAGTTCTGTTTGGTTTAGACTGGCCACCGATCTTTTCTTTTCCTGTATTGATTTTTTCCCCTTTATTTCCAAACAGCACAAGGGTGCTCATGTTCCATTGCACCTGATGTGCTTATCTGTGTACATACAGGACATGCACAAACATACTGCGTGTACTTCGATTGGTAGTGATCATCTTTAATTATGCAAAGAAGCATGCGTTTATGAATAAAGAGAAATGAACATGTACATGTAGATCTCGGTACATTTGCTGGGAATTTTGGGGTCAATTTTTTTTTTTTGGTGAGGTGTCTGTTGATGAATTGAAATTCTTCCTGTCCTTTTTGGGGTTTCGTTTTTCTTAACAACATATAGCATGATCTTTGTACATTATAAACCACAGTATATTTCCACAGGTATATATATGCACTTTTGTCATTTCTGGTCGTTGGGTTACATGTACATGTAGTCTGTAGATGAATATTTTTAACCTGAAATTCCGATTTTTGTCTTTTCTTTTTTTAATTTTAAATCTGAGAGAAATTTCAAAATGCTCAAAACCTAAGAAATTTTGCAATTTTTTTTTTTTTGAAGATGAAAATATTGTAGTACGTGTACATGTGTATGCACCTTAGGAATCTTTGCGGACTGCTTTTATTCCTAAACACACACACGCAAAAAACATAGTTTGATCTTTTAGGGATTATTTCCAACAGACCTATCTTTTCACGTTGCATCCCTTCAAAAATCAACATCATAAAAAAGACTTCCAGTTTTGCAACAAACCTCTGATGAAATTGTCTCTTTGAAATGCTGGCAAGTGGATAGCCCACTCGCACCATAATGTCGTCGTTCAGATCTTAACTCTAACAAAACACGAGTGCAGTCACTCCCCTTGCGCCCGAGGCACTTTTCAATATCGGAGCAAATAATGATTGCATCGTGTTGTGTGCGATCCAAATCATGGCGGTCCTCATCTACTCTGAATTGTAAAAAAAAAAGTCCATTTTTATTCTGTGTGCTTGCTCGGAGATTGTGATAACTGAAGCCTGGTGATTTGTGTAACTGGATCTTGGTCTTTCTGTCAGAATTGTCGCAAATTACAAAGGTGTCAACTTGGATTTATTGTATAGTTTATGAGAAGCTGTAGACTACCTGTACGTGCACAGTATGTCTGCCTTGTAGGTTGAGAGGACTGGGCTAATTTCTTTGAAATTAGTTGATGTTCTGAAACATGTATTGGAGCCTTTTCAAGTCAATATTCGTGTCTTGACTAAACACTTCTTTAACGGTTTACATAGTTCAGCCTCTTTTGACATTGTGGTTGTGCACTGTTTTTGAAAGTGTATTGTGGAATTCTGAAATCCTAACAATGCATCATAGAACTTTCTCCTGTCTTCCCTTGCGAAATGTGAAAAAAGGAAGGGATTTGTGCCAGATCTCACAGATTTGCTCATTCTGTTTTTATGCATTGAATCAGCCCTTGAACATTAAAGGAAATGCACAATTAGTCTCCTAAACCTTGCCCAAATGACATCACTTGGTTGTCACGGTAACGGACTGTCATCAAAGCCGTCCATTAAATGACAATATCATGATGAGGTGCAATAATGCAGACTGTATATCTGTGGCAAAAAGGTTGTGTCAAAGATGTTTGGCAGCTTTTGTAATTATAAATCGCTGTTTGGATGTTCTTGTGACCCAAATTTGTTTGTGGTTTCACCTAAATGTACCCGTTCATGAAGATGGCATTTATTGAAGTGCACTTTTTAGACTAATAACTTTTTAGTCCCCCTAAAAAAAGCAAACAAACCAAGTGCACTCAGTTCATAATATTAATCCCTAACTACCCCAAACCTGCCATACTCCAACAGTAGGTTTTGTGAGGTTTTGGCAGGATTGGTACTGTACCTGATCAACTTCTTAGTTGAATTTTGCTGGACTTGGTATCAAAGGTCCAGCGTGATGGTGTTGGATTCTCTGTGAGTTGGGACACACAGGGTTTATTGTGTGCAGTGTCTGGCAAGCTGTACCAAGTGTTGGACTGTGCTTGATTTTGTCAGGTTTGGTACCGCTGCAGAGCAAGTCATTCTATACTGCGTTTATAGACCCATCCGTACCATATCACTCAAACTCCAATGGAGTCATCATGTTGGAATTTATTAGGTTTGATACAGTGACCTGCTTGTACCAGTACACAGACAAGTCCATGAACCTGTTGGATTTTGTGAGGTTCAGTATACTCTCCAGTGCAAGAACCTAGGGGGTTAGGATTATTACCAAGGTACATGTATCTGATGCACATGTAATTCATCTGCAGTGAGAGTCTCTGATTCTAGTAGTTACTTGCAGATTCTCAAGTTGACCCACATTGATTGATGTGGGATGTTTTGGAATGAGGCTGTGCTGTTTGTATTGAAAAATAAAGGTTTGTCTTGAAGCAAATACTGATTGCTTGGATTGGCGTGGTCTGGAATAGCCCAGATTAGTCAGGTGATCTCAAGTGTTACGAGGCTCTGGAGATTGAATCATAGATTTACAAGTTGTCAGCTGCAAGACTTGATTTGCTTGAGAGCGACTGCGAAATTTATTATTGAAAGAACGGGGCTTGTACGGTTTCTGTGTTGTGTTAGCAAGGTGATAGCGATATGTACATCTGTGCTGTCAGGCTCAGTGCATATTTAAATGCTTGAGAGGTCTTTCTTTTGCAGATGAGGTCAACAGCAATTCGAAGGAGTTGCTCAGCCGACTGAAACGCCGCCTCAGCGAAGAACATCAGGAGGTCATAGAGGTCAGTCTCAGTCTCTTGTAGAGTTGATAGTGAGTCGTAAATAAAGTTATTTTCTAGGAATTCTTTCTAATTTTGCAAATAACAGGCTTGAAGTCACACTCTTTGTCAACCAAGCAAAAGAAAGCTTGTTACAGAGATCCTGAGTGTATGGAAAATACCACACGTAATCACTAAATGGGGAAATAAAAATACATTTGGGATAAATTTGAAGTGTGAATTTACCACTGGCACAGTTCAAACAGATTTGACAAGAGAGGAGACTTATGGAGGCGAGGATGCATCTCGTAGTAGATCAGTTCCTGGTGCATGTGGAACTGAGTGTGCTTTGTATTTCCTGTGGGATACTGAGATGTTATCCTCAGTCATGATGGTTTCAGTCATCTATCTCTCACAGCAGTGCCAGCTTGCGATATTACGTAGCCTTGTGTGAGATTCATCTGGGTTTGGTGCCTCTTCTTACTCGACCTGTCACATACTCTTGGCATTTATTTCCAGCTTTTCAAAGCCCTTTGTTCATGGAGATTTGTTCATGTCTGGTGCTGGCTGTTTTTTCTCCAGAGCCTTGCCCACGAGTGGGACCAGAAGGTCCTGGAGCAACTGAGGCACCTCAGGGAGGAAATGGAAGAGAAGTATAAGGCGGAGCTGGAGGCGGAACGGGAGCTGCTTAGCCGGGGGCTAGAGGGAAAGGAAGAACTGGAGCGAGAGCACAGAGCGGACGTTGACCTGCTGATGAAAGAGAGGGAGGCATTGCTCAACCAGGCTGAAGGTGAGGCTTTATGGGGGTCAAAGGTCATGGATTATGGATAAGTGACTTGAATGGGAACACAGGGCAGATGCTGTGTTGTTTCAAGTGGAAAGAGGCTGTTTAACCAAGGTGGAGGTGAAAGGTCGTGTGGGGCAAAGGTCATAGTTTGCTTGTTGGTCTGAGTTTTACATCATCAAAATTAGGCCGCATGAGAAATACAGGCTACAGGTTCTTATAGGTAGTGATGGCCTTTTTAAAGAGTTATGAACACCATGTTAGTTGGAATTAAAGGAAACTTCAATTTTACTCAATGGTGTTTCTGGTATTGGTAGTATCAGAAAGTTTCACATTTACTTGTTTGGCAGAAATGAGACAGAACCTGGAGAAGGTTCATCAACAGGAGTTACAGGACATCCACGCTAAGATGCAGGCAGAGCATGCACAGCTGGCCAAAATGAGGGAAGATTTGGAGGAGCAGCGTAGCCATCTGGACTCTGTTACCTCCCTCAAGAATGAACTCTCACTCCTGCAGACAGCTCATGACCAGCTAAAGGAGAGTTACAAGGCACTGGAGGCCAGGCTAGGGGAAGGAGGGCTTGGAGACTTGAGTCTGGATGAGAGAGAGAAGGCGCTGGGAGAGGAAGCTGTTGAAGCCTACAAGAATGAGATTAGGAAACTCCAAGATGAGTTAACAATGGCCAGGGCTAGGTTCCAAGATGAGCACAGTCTGGAGCTGGAGAAGCTGCGGACATACTTTGAGGAGCGGGTTGTGGAAAATGAGAAGCGTTGGGCCCAGGAGATGGCAGATCTGAAAGAACAGTACGAAGAAGAACGTGAGCGCAGCTTGAAAGAGGATGAAGGAGAGGATGGCAGACCAAAACAACGGAGCTATGCACAGACTATGATGATGATGACGCACCTGTCAGATGTTGAGAGCTCTCCGCCCCAATCTCCGGAGCGCTTCGCGGAGATTGAGGCAGAGGTCAAGCAGCAGCTGAGGAGCGAGCTGAGGAGCATCCTGGAGGAGGAGTATCAAGCCAGGATGGATAACATGAAGGAGGAGCTGCAACACGAGCACCAGATGGAACTGGAGCGGAGGAATCTCCAGTCAGAGCTGAAGCTGGAGGCTGAGTTGAATGCTGCCAGGGATGCTGTGTTCATGAAACATGCCTTGGAGCTTGAGAACCTCAAGCAAGGTCACCTGGAGGAGTTGGAAGCACTTCGACAGGAGCTCTCCGAGGAGAACACCAAGGCCACCACAAAGCTCCGGCTGGAGTGTGCTGTCGAGACGGCACGGCAGGTGGAAGAAGAATCACAGCGGATCAAGGAGGAGCTGAAGTTCACCCATGAGGAGGAGCTGTCGCAGTTGAAGGATGACCTGGAGCACAAGCATGCCATTGAGATGGATTCTGTTCAGAGTGAGCTGGAACTGCAGAAGGACATTGAGGGGAAACGGGCCAAGGCAGAGGCCAAGGAAGAATTTGACGGTCAGTTCAGGACTATGCAGGCTGACCTAGAGCAGCAGGCGCAAGAAAAGATAACTGATGAGGTTGCCCGCATCCTGGCCGAAGTCTCCATGGAGAAAGCTCAGGAGATGGAAGTGATGCAGGTGGCCCTTGATCAGCAGAAGGAGCAAATCCAAGAATTGGACAAAAGAAAGAATGACCTTCAAGAACAGCTAGACAGTCGGTTGAGGGAAGAAGACAACCTTGGAGAAAAGTATGCCAACGAGATTGCCAACTTAAGACAGCAGCTGGCGGATACAGAAGACACTCTCCAAGCTCTCCAGGAGGGAATTGAGAGTGGGGAAGCACCAGAGGTTCAGGCCTTGAAGGAGAACCTGGTACGGCAGTATGACAACCAGCTTGAGATGATCAAGGCAACGATGACTGAGGAGATCGAGTCTCTCACCAAAACCACCCAGCTTCAGTCTGCCAAGGAGCTGGAGGAGATGCAGGTCAACTTCATGAAGGAGCACCAGGCCTTGCTAGATAAGTTTGTGGAGAGCCAGGATGCCGACATACTGGCCCTCAAACAGCAGCATGATAAAGAACTTCAGGAACAGCATGAACGCTTGCAGAACAACTTTGAGCAGGAGTTGATCGATGCCCAAGAAGCTCTGCAAGAGGAACAAGCAAAGGAGCTGGAGGAGCTGCGAAAAACACTTGATGAGGAACATGCCAAAGAGATCAGTGACTTAAAATCACAGCACTTTGAGGAGCTGGAAGCCCTCAAAATTGAACTTGCAGAAACTTTAAATGATGAAAAAGCAAAGTTGGAGGAGAAGATGGAGAAGGAGCGAGCTCACATCTTGAATGCTGAGCAGCTCCTTGAAACTATCAAAGCCAAGCATGAGGAAGAGAAGGCGCAGGTCAAGGAAGACCTCGTCTCTGACCACATGGCTAAGTTCCGGCAGGTCACGGACGAGCTTGAGTCCGAGCACCGCCAGGAGTTGGAGTCCATGAAGGAGATGCTCCGGACCTCCATTGAAAACGAGTTCAGGGAGAAGATTCGCAGCTTGGAGGAGGAAATCCAAGGCCAGCAGGCAGGAACAGAGGCAGTGAGGGAAAAGCATGAGACGGAACTGATGGAGCTGAAGCAGAACCACGAAGAGCAGTTGGCTAAGCTACGAACAAACCACGAAGACCAGCTGGAGGCCATAGCCACGGATTCTGAACGTGAGATTGAAGCTGCCAAGTCAGAGCTGGAGGAGGCCCATCGGAAGGAGGTGCTCCGTCTCCAGAGTGAGCTTGGGGATGAGAAGCAGGCAGCTGTCCTCACTCTCAAAGAAGTCCATGAGAGCGAGATCGGGAGGCTTCAGGAGGAGCATCGGCAGGAGATGGAAGCCTTGAAGGAGGAGCAGGAGGGAAGAGTCAAGGAGGCAGTGGAGGAACTGATGAAGAAGCACCAGGAGGAGATTGAGAAGGCTCTTGAGGAACTGCAAGAGCAGTTGATGCATCAAGCTGAGCAGGAAAAAGGTCAGTCTGTCAACTCACTTTATAGCGTAGTGTACCATGCTACAAAGCATGCAGACATTAGATAAGTGTACAGAATTAACATGATACATTGTATCTGTGGAAATGTTTGTGGGTAATTCTTCAGATTTTGGGTTCAATTTTTCCTGTCCCTGTTACACCTAACAAGTGATATTGTTTAGAACTAAAACGCATTCATGCATTTCCCAAGAGTGATTTGCAAATTACCAGTAAAACAAATAAAAGGAGTTTGAAAGCAGTTTAAGTAATTGGCTTATCCCCTGTCCAATTACCCACCGAGTGTTACAAGGACAGAAAATAAATGGCACACGTTGGACCCCAAGTTTATAGAAAAGTGCAAAGAGGAAAGGTCTGAAATTGTTTTTAATTTCCAGCCATGCAAGTTCCCTTTTCTTAATTTTCAAAACCACTCTCAATTTAAGAAGAAATTTATTTCAAGATTTGACTGTTTCCTCTTCAAGCAAGCTCTTGTGTACATATGCAAAAATTACGGCATGCAAGGATTTATGAATTTACTGAGTTTACAGTAGTTGGAGTTGTGATTACCCCCTCTATTGTCCAAACCTGACCTATCCTCTCAAATCATGGCCTTCACCTGAACACAGTGGGAGGAGCTGATCCATGACTCGTCAACAAACCCCCCTTTGTTGTTTCAGGTGAGCTGGATCAGATAATGAAAGAGAAAGAAGAACAACAGAGGGAGGAGGTAGGAAAGCTTCAAGAGCTCTCAAATCAGGTAAAAATGTGCCACAAAAGGGATTGGCTACTGTTATGTTTCAGCGTGCATGTGTGTGAATCCGTGAGAACGCCAAATTCTGCTACATTACGGGTGGATACACTTCGAATGAGAGCTGTCAACTTTTTTTCCGTCAACTTTCTGTGAATGGTTGTTTGCATTAAAAACCTCTCCTTATCATGGATTCTAAACGGATGCGTTATATTTTGCTGGTAAGCTTCTTTTTTTTTTAAATGGTTCTGAAGCTTTCATTTGTGCAATTTTTTCAATCAGGAAACACTTGTCGTAATTCATGTGCACTAACAGGTTACAAAAAATTGTGTCAAGTCCTAGAGGGGGTTTTTGAACTTCCAGTCAAGGTTACTACAGAAAAAATGTGTAATTGAAAGATGGTAATTTCCCGATGAGAACTGCAGTAGACTTCAGACCGTACAGTGTCGGTCGTCAAAAATTCTCCAGATAATGCTGGGAGTTTATATTGAAAAACAAAAAATTCAGAGTAGGTGCCAGATGTCAAAAACTTGAACGTCCTTGTTGATATTATGCGGAAACACAATATAGAAATGATTTTCCTGTTTGACTCGTTTCTTGAAAATTTGGCTCAACATTTGATTCCTTACACTCATGGGTTGATTTGTATTATAAGCTTTGTTGGCATTTATTTTTCAAGTGGATAGTTTATTTATTTGATTATTTGAAGAAACAAACTTCACTTTTTTGAAGTCAAGAACCGTAATGTCAATTTTTCTAAAAGGGGT